CCAGGTCGGCAGAAACGAACTCGTCTCTCCCAAGTCTGAAAAGGATCGCTGCCTACCTTAAAAAAATAAAAATAATTAAAAAAATTGCATGCCTAGATACGTGTAAAAATTTCCACGCACACCCCCTTTCAGTAATGAGCTTTAAGTAACCACATCAGAACAGAAGTCTTCACCTGCGCAAGAAAACCTACTACCTTTGGAGTCTGCACGTAGCACTAATGAAGTAAAAATGTATACTCTCCCATTACGTCACAACAGACTCCAGCAGCCATCTGTTGAAGGGATGCTGTGCCTATATATAGACAGACAACGCCATGAGAGAAAGAACTCGTATCTGCACCTAATTCAGCATTTGCTCTACTGGCAGATCTGCAAACACTTTTTTTATGGGCCAAAAAAGTGTTTGCTCCACAAATATCCTATCTAAAAATGAAACAAACTTCAATGTTTGGAACAAGAAAGTAACTTGAGTGTTAAAAGGAGCATTAACAAGTGGGTAAGTGGCTTCCAAATACACAGATTTTATGGGCCATTTGCAAGCACAGTTGATTTCAGCCCAATTTAATGTGCCAGTCTGCCAAAACAGCAAATAGATGAAAAAAAATCCCAACTGTATTCAATACATTCCTAAAAGTTGGCCAAGTACTATACAGACACACTTCAAGAGTCCAAGAACAACTCATAGATGAACTGAAGCCTGGGAGGTCTTGGACAACAAGCCACTGGTGGCACTGGTGACAGTGTCTCCTCCAGAGGCTCAGGACAAGAATAACAGGAGGTGATGCACAGTGGCATGAAGAACTGACAAGAAAACTCCAAATAGGAAATTAAATGGGTGCTACCATTGCCACTGTTTTTTAAATATCAGTTCCCTTCAAAAATGGGAGTAATGGGGCCAGCACAAGCCAGGTCAGAGGTGGCAGAGCCGTGTGATTGCATGTGATTTTTATTTTATTTTTAAATTAGTTGGAGAGGGGGGGATTGTGTGAACAAACCTGGATATGCCTGGGACAGCAGGGGGAGCTGCGAGTCTGCGTTCCTCTGCATGTCTATTTAATTGCGTTGAATATGTGGACAAAAACACAGATGTATGTTTGCCCATCACTATAGAAAGATGCTTGCATGTCTAACGAGCTGCAAAAAAAAATCGAGTTCATAACAAAGTATTAAACAAGGAGCAAGAGATAATTGTCACCTTCTCTCACAAGATAATAAAAATAGTTACACCATAAACATAAAAATCTTTTAAAAGACCCCTGACAGCATTCCCTCCTGGAACTATCACCACAGCAATGAGCATTCAAATAGGGGGAAAGTACTGCTGAATTCTGTGTTTGATATTTTCAACTAACTAAAAACATAAACTGGAAAAAATACACACCAGTAATATAGAATGAAGCACACAAACATAAAAAGCCTTCAATGAAATTAAAGGTCACAAATTCCACCTGCAAATCTTTAATACTCCAGGAAAGAAATCCTTTAACCAGGTAGCATACATTGAAAGAGTTCCTGTAGATAACCGTAAACCCATCCGATAGCTGCTGTATCCAACAATTCCTATTTATAACATTTTGCACAGGTCAGTGTAGAAGTGCAGTGGCAGTATTGTGTGAAATCTGAGGAAAAGATACACGTCAGAGAGAAGGCAGTAGAAAGCTGTACTGACAGAGCCATATAGGAAACCTAAGAATCAGAAAAGCAGGGAACGTTGTACGTTAAGATTTAGGCACTCAGCAGAGCTCTGGGGAGGGGTACTTGCAAAGCAGCAAACTGTATCTTCTCTAGTTGGCGCTATTAAATAGGTCTTATTTCTGTGGCATTTAGATCCAAAGTTAAGATTAATTAAAGGAGAGAAGAGTGGATTGTTTCAAAATTCCTCTCCCAGATGCAGACATCAGGAGCACACACAAAAGCAGGTGCCGGGTGTATTGATCCTACTGAATACGCATGGAGTGGGTACTTGAGCATGTACCAAGCATCTGCGTCTGGGAGATGGAAAGCACTTTGTGAAAGGCTGTTCTATGCTAAACAAATGCATCAGGTTATGTTTTTTTATTCTGAATATTTTAGAGCATCTTGCACACTGGAGCAGACATGAAAAGAAATTATAGACAACCAGGCAACTTGCCATTAATTGTACAAGTTACTATCTCTATAGCTGAAAATTGGCTGTGGGCTCACTCAGGAGCACTCCAAGATACTGAAAACCATCCTCAATAAAACCTGCTCTGGCTGCTGCACCTTAGAGAACTGGAGCTCCTGCATCTGAAGACTCTTTAGGTCACATGAGCCAGCCCAGCTGCAGGCAGGCAAAGGGACAGACACATTTCTTCCCAACAACTCCTCAACACACCCAGCAGGGAAGTGACAAATTCAACACTGCAAATTCATACTGGGACTATTCAAAGAGGCTGAGATGGACAACGCTTGCTGAATTTGATAATGAAGAAACTATAATGGCACATTTAGAAGAGAAAATGAAACAGGCATCCATCCATTAGAAAATTTGGCTATAGTTTGTAGTAGTCCCCCAGATAAAATTTTCCTTTTCACAGCCAGCCAGACTATGACCAAAATTTGTATCAGAAATCAAACTCTGTACTGTATTTGCTTGTAGAATCTTTTTTCCTTTCTCAAGGAGGGAAAAAATTAATCCCTACAGGAGATGACAAGATGCCTTTTAAAGTACATATCTCATTTCTGACTACAATTACCTTTCAATAGCCTGGCACAGCTGCACACTCCTATTTGCTTTTTGTTTTTCATTAAGGGCTCCTCTATTATTTGTACCCATCCTATAGCATTTATGCCTGGCAGTGATGCACATTCCCTTGCCTACGATTCTTCCCACAGATAGTAGAGAATAAATTGCAATTAGATTTTCGTAATTGTAGATAATTAACTCAAAATGAGCTGTTAATTATAAAAAACCCTATGTTTTTCAGTTCTTGATTATATTATTTATTTTACTTCTAAACTCCAATACCTCACTTCAGCAAGTTTAGTATTTTAAAGTACGTTCACCATTTCCTTTAAAATGCCAGGATATTTTTAAGCTAAGTTTTGCTTATGTGAAGACTGAAATCAAGTATCATGCTGTGAGGTTTGCTAGAGGAGCTCTCATGTATGAACTGAAAGTCAGAGAGGGTTGGTTTTCCGTTAGGGTTCTGATAGCATTTGCTGTAACAAGAACTATTTGTCAGGTCAATTAAAAAACAAATAATAAAAAAAAAACCACTTCCCCGCCCCCCAAAAAACCAAACAAACAAACAAAAAAAAAGAGACTATTAAAAAAAAGGATGTGTTTCTACAAGCTCTTCATCCTTTCTAAGCTCTAGCCACACACTTGCACACTCTCTCGATGCTGAAGAGAACATCACTTACATATTCAAATGCATAAAAAAGACAAATGGACTTGTCTGCCATAGCCTCTTTCAAGCCTTACATTCGAGTAAATTATTTAGAGAGCATTCATCTGGTAACCTTTACAAAACTGAAGATGGCATATAGGAAGAAAAACTTCCAACTGTTTTGCTGCCAAACTTTGGAACCAGCTGGCATGGCAACTTGAGACTGCACGAACACATATTAACTTTGAAAAATTATAGTAAATCAAAGCAGAGGAATGAAGAGAGGGTGGGGAACCTTTTGAAATCTGGAACTCTCATTTTGTTAACGGCACAGGTTTTCCTCATTTTCCCTGCTAGGCTATGTAGATTTTTGCAGGTTTTTGATAAACTGTTGCCAAGATGCCGTACAGATGTTCTAGGTTACATTTTTCCTCCAAGGGGCTTAATGCTACTGCATTTTAAACATATCATGACTCTCTATCTCTTTTGTTACAGTGATCACACTTTGATCACCTCAGTCTGTGCAAAAACGAAACAAAAAAGCATCAGAATACAATGAGGATATGCCAGCAACTCACAGCAGCCAAACACCTGGTTAAGCAATGAAGTATTTCAAGGAAACTAACTGCTCCTGTTGTTCGGGAGAAAGAAGTCTTACCTCTTTTCAGTGAAGAGTGATCTCAAAAAAATAAAATAAAATCAGAATTACTTGAGGTTATTAAAAAAAATAAATATTGGACCCTTAGTTTATCAATAAATTAACAGTTCTTCTGATATTCTCATAATGGAGAGAAGAGCTTATTATTTTAAAGTCTTCTCTGTAATTTACAGAAGGAGCCATTCAAAGGACAGCTGCTCTTCTTCTCCACCGAACAGTGGATACTTTGGTCAAAAGAACATCTATAGTTAAACCATAGAACAAGAAGCTGTTACTTTCTGAGACATAGAGAAACCCCCTGTCTAATCCAGTCTTTATTTGTTGCTTTTCTAATAAGCCTGAATCTTCTTCCAGTGGTAACATGAAATGCAACAGGGTGGGACAGAAAAAACCCCCACAATAATATATTGATTAAAGTTTGAAATAGTATGCAAAATGGAGATAAAGAGCTAAATATTGGGTTAACTCTATGTCCAGTTATTTCAGTGGTATTTTGCTCTGACTTCACGGAAGCAGAGGTGCAACACAGCATTGTTTAAAAACCAAGTAACTATTACCAATTGTAAAATATCATTTCTACCTGGGAGCTAAAGGCCAGAGTACTTTTTACATCAGGTCCAAATCAAGACTAAAGAGATGTTCTGATTCTAGTTGAAAAAAATAACAAGCTGTACCTGGAAATGAGAACAAAAGCTAAGATTTTGTGAAAACTCCATTTTGCACTGCGCTAGGTAAGTGTCCTTAAAAGATGACATAGAAAACCCAAGATGTCTACAGGAAGTCAACACCTAAACCTTGAGTCATAACAGGTCAGCATAACTATTGAGGTGACTCATAAAATGCAACAGCCAATGAATTTTACCTTTCCTGCAGAAAAAAGCTCTTAATCTGAAACAAACACATGAACAAATACACTTGGCAGCCAGAAGCACACTGTCAAGAAGATATACTGAGGCTATGAAGTACTTAGAAGTGAAGAAAGAAATTACCTTAGCCCCACGCTGTTGCTGTTCATCATCAGAGCAAGTTCTCCAGCTGCTTCATCAATGGGCACATCTTCTGAGCCAGGTACATGGCCTCTAAACCTGAAAAAGCAGAGATAGCTGGTTTTGCAGCTGGTCAAATCATCACACCAGGAACTCACCACAGAAAGGTGAGTTGTGCGACTATAAACAGGGCACTTAATCACGTTAAATGCAGAAGCTTTCACAACAAAAAGTGTATTTTTTACACTTTCGAATATACTTTTGCATTGGAAGACCGACTTACGTCCAGTGCCTTTGCTTCTGAGGGTTTCCGCTGGGAAAAAGATTAGAAAAATTTCTTTTACTGATTTCCAAGGACCTGGTCCCTTAAGAAAATGGTCACAGTATCCAATAAAAAACATCCCTGTTGGGCTCAGATTGCAGCTCCAGCAGTACCAGAGCCCAAAGGCATCATATGTAAACTGCATAAAATGTAGAAGTTGCTTGAGTTGGTTGTGTCTCCTGAAACTATGGGCTCCATTTTTAATAATTACCCCACCTTTTTCTTTCTCTCCAATGAAAATAGAAAAATCAGCACTTTTCCCTTTCTATTTGAATAAAATTCCTGTTTACAGGATTTACCCATATTTGTCTAATTACTGAGAAACAATGTTTTGCCATTTCTGGAACTCTCCGCTTCTGGTGTGGTTAGCATCAGGAGGAGTCACTGCACTGCCCCGTTCCCTGCACACACACCATTTTTGATAGCCAAACAACTGTTTCACATAGAGAGAAAATACAAACTGACAGTACTATGCTCACTTGAGGCTAAATAACGGAATGTGGGATATTAAAATGAAGTTATGGTGCAGCATGGCCAAAAAAGGTTCAATTAATATTTTCACTAAATGAGCTGAATAGCTAATAGCCAATAATTACAAATGGCCAGAGACCTTTTACTTGTCATTCAATGACAATACTTTCAGCAGCTCAGAATGGACCTTAACCGGCACTCCACCCATGCAGAAGGACAGACAAAAATAAACACTATGTGGAAATGGATTTTTGTTGTATTGCTTTTTTAAACTGTCATGATGTTAAGAGATGAACTAGGTTAGAGCCTCCTGGCAATGAAGCAAAGGGTATTTGAGCTTAGCTAAACAAATTTTTATTGTTTGTAGTATATAAAATTACCCTGTTATCCAGTGCAAAAGTGAATTATATACCTAGAACTGAAACAGAACTGTGATGTCTAAAAGATTTACCTGTAAATATCAAACAATTAGTTCTAAAGAGACTGAATATTTTTAAAAGCAAGCACACTATATTCTAGTTGCTTTTATGGCAAATGTGCTTTCACCTGCACCTCTGAAAAGAGATTACAAAAATACTTTGTGTCCTCATATTGATAATATATGACTTTCTTTCATAGCATTCTTTTAGATAACACGAACACTGTAACCCATTAAGGGTGGGGGCTTTTTCAGGGGAAAAAAAAAGGTTAAAATACACATAATGGCATTAACAAGCACATCACTGTAGATATATTTAAGGTTCATTTTTTGTCTGGGCTTATGATACCTCAAAGAAGGCTGAAAAATATCCATTAAAAAAACCCACCAAAAACCAAAAACAAAACCACCAAAAAACTCAGTCTGTATGTTCTTCATATTCTACTTGTTTTTCATTAGAGGGATGCATGTGTAGAATTAAGGTATTTGATGATTAAGAATCCATCTGTTCCTGCTTAATTCTCACCTGAAGTCATAATCCTTTGTTTGTGACCTGAGTCATTCTCAACACACACAATTGTGATTGCCTTTCAGACTGGCATTTTTAAAGCCACATAAACACATTATTTTCAATGTAAGCCAAAATTCAAGAAGACAGACAGACCGGTCTAATACAGTATTCTCTTTTACAGTTTGAAAAGTAACCAGGGGGCTGGGATTAAGAAAGTCATATATTCCTCCATGGTGGTTATAACACGTGAATGCAGGAAGTGGGTTGTGTAATGCAGACTCTCATGGGATGCTGTCAGCAGTTCCCATATTAAAACAGTATTGAAATAAGCATCCTTGTGATTTTTCCCCATTGCTCTCCCTTCCTGATGCTGAAATACTAGTACTCAACTGAGTTATACTGGCTGATTCAACTTGCTTTAACCTGCTCCCTTTCACTGTTCCTCTCCACTCTAGCAGCATAATACCAACAAACTAGTTTCTCCTTCCAGAGTCCCCATTTACATTGTCAGGAAGGTGTTCTCTCACCTTGTGCAACAACCTCATGGGCCGTTCAAGCCACATCCCATATTTCTATGGTTATAGTTTTTAAGCATGTCTTCTGCCTCAGTCTTGGCATTCTCCCTTCCATAAACACCATTAGCTTCTGTAATTAAAAAAATTCTTTCCATGGAAAGAAAATGTCTTTGCTACACAGAGATCCCTTCCTTTTCCACATATATATGTATATAGGGGGAAAAAATATATTTCATTTATGTAAAAAGTGATGTAAAACATACTTCTTCCAGTCTCTACCTCAGAAGGTGAAATACTTCAAAACGGACCTCTCCTAGGAAAGAAGGGGAAATGCCACATCGATGTCATCCACACTCACGCTGCTCTCTTGCCAAATGTCTGTATTCCTTGAAGTGCCTGCACTAAGATCAACCTCTCATTTTCTTCTACTGCTCCTCTTTCCCACCTACTCTTTTAGCACTGCTTTTCTTGTGCCTTTCTTTCTACCACATACTGTTTTCCTCTGCTGCTTTCCACAGCTGTCATGCTGTTTCCCAACAGTATATGCTAATATACTAAAAAGTCTCCTCTCCTCTAAATCACTACTGGAATTTGTGCCACAGGTCTTGCCTATCTTATCAGTTCCACTCTCACACTTTAATTAACTATTGTCCATGTGTTCATTAGAAATTTACCTTTTTTTTTTTCTTAAATTATAAATCTCAAAATCACCTGTTATAATCCATCCGGGATTGGTGTAGTTGCTGTTGTTTTAGGAGCAGTTTTGCTTCTTGCTTAGCCAACAAATGTTGGAGTCGTTCCTTTTCAATTTCCAGCTCCATTTTCTGGAGAAGCAGCTTCTGCCTTCTTTCTTCATACAACCTTTTAGCCTGCTCTGTTTCTTTAGCCCCTGAGTCCATGCTGTCATTCAGCCCAGAAACTTGAGAGCGCCTGGAATAATCACAGGTTTTGTGAACTGGCCCAGAGTGTCTTCTAAGTACCTGGACGACATGGCGGCTCTCTTGCACGCTCCCTGAGCTCCCGACATGCCCACAGGCACAACCATGACTCACAGGGCATGTGCTCTGAAATTCATTTGTTTTCTGGTCCATCTCTTGAGCTGGTTTTACATGATGAGGGCTCCTCTGCTTGGCTGGGGAAATCACATTGTTACACTTTCTGTGCAAGCCATTTTCTACCGGATATTCCTTTAGACACTCCTGATGGTTGTAATGGGTTTCAGTCCTGTAACCATGATTATTTCTGCAAGGCTGAGACAATGCAGCACGGGCTGGGCTTGCAGGCTTTGATGCTCTACTGTTCTTATAAAAAGTTTGAGGTCGCCCAATACCCAAGTAGGAACCATCTAGCTCCAAAGATGGTTGTTGGCATAAGCTTTTCTTACTGGATACCTGCAATAAGAGAAACGATTTCCTGTGAATTACCAAAATTTATCTTTGCTCATTAATTTCACTTGGTAAATGTGTTCTCTCAGAAATAGATTTGCTGCATCATGCTGATGGACGTACAGCCAAACCCAAGAAAATGTTTATCAGAAGACATACATGAATCTGCTATCAAATCTACATTTCATTCCACCTACACAAGTGTAATAAATGTAAAACTACTGCCTGCAGGATCCTCAGCATAAAATGAGTCGATTCAGAGTATCAAGTAGTTGTGAGCATCTAGGGTTACATAAAATCAACTTGAAGAGTGGCAAAAAACATTAAATGTTAATGTTTGAAAATGTTTAATTTTGAATACTGAGCCAAAAAATCCATTCAGCCACTATAAATACTCTTTGATTGGCCATTACACAGCAGGAGATTTGATGTAAAACATTTCACCTTGCACTGAATGGGATATTACTTACCGCTGGAAATTTGATGAGAGTTTTTGAAATATCTTTACAGAAACACAGATAAAAACCAACTACTTTCTGTAAAAAATGGTTGTACATCAAAAGCTGTCATTTAAATACAAAACATGTTTAAAGTCAGCTATAAACGTAAGTGATTTTTCAATTAAGCTGGGCAAGTGATTATACTGTGATAAAACTTTGAAGAAAGAAAGCAACTGTAATTCACATTTGTCAACCCACAGCAAGCAAATTCTAGTGGTTTTGTTACACTCCTGGATATTACGTAACAGACATCAAAATCTTACTTACATCCCAGAGTATCTTTGCACTATGGTTCATCTAGGCAGTTAAGCTTTTGAGTTTTTATGCACATCAGGAACAGCAGTGAATCAGGCACTCATATTTCTTTTGCTAGACCTGCGCATTAATTTCAGTAACATACTGAATTTAAACTTCTCCAGCCTTTGGGACCTTTCACAAAGATCTAATTTTTTTAATTACAGAAGCTAAGTTTACTGAAGATAACAAAACCACTGCAGTGAAAGTGGTTTAGCAGGGAAATTTGGAATCCACTGATGGAAAGAAAAGTATTATTTGCACTCTGGCAATGAAGACAGGTATTGTCCACATGGAGTGGAAGACAGTCAGGAAGCCCCAAAACACTAGAACTTAGGAATGCCAGCAACCGTCCAGTGATGATCAGTAGAGAGATATAACCCAAATCTATGCAGTATTAATGTATAATTTAAGTTCTTTTTAATAATAAACAAAATACCAAATATACTTTGCTGCCCTTCAAGACAACCAATTACAAGTTTCTTGTAGACTTCACAGAATGTAAACTAACATGGATTAGCACCTGAATACTGATATTTTATTATTTCCAGTTTTGTGGATACAAATATATCCTCTCTGCCATGTGATTGAAAGCCAAGGATGTCATGTTTTGCCCCAAAGGGCACCATGAGTTGGGGGCATTTGCATTAATGTCAGTGCTAAATGTCTGAGGAAAGTCTGTTGCTTGGACTGGGTGAAAAGTGCAGGACATTAAAATATTTTAAAGTCAGAGAGGCTGGAAGGGCAACTGAGCAGAAATGCAACATGCTGCCAAAAAAAACGGAGTTTTGTTATTTATTATTTGTACCGTGCCATCATTGTCTGCAATATTTTCTAGACAAATGAAGGCTACAAAGCCCTTTTAATCTAAATTAGACAATACATAAAGAGATGACCAGTAACAGGAAGAAATATTACAGAAAAGCAAAAGTAAGAGAACCCCTTGGTTACGCACTGTCTCTCATTTCTTACCTCACTTGCTTCTCCTAATAAAGCATTTAGGGCTCCTACAGGAAGAGGCTTTCAAGGTGGCTAGTTTTCCAGGCCCCTAGGACAGCAGAAGGTGGCAGACCTGAAGGTATTCTTAGAGAATCCTATCGGAGCTGGCAGCTTAGGGTGGTATACAGAAAGTGTACACCTACCCTTCTGCAGCCCATAAATAGAAGTGAAAAGGAACAAAAAAAAAAAAAAGACTCAGAAGATGAAATAACTGAGAATGTCTTTATTTTAGCATTTGGTTGACTGACTGAAGAGACAAGAGAATATTAAGAAATCTAAGCACACAAATGAAGATGGTAAAAAATAATCATTGGGAGCTGGTTTAAGAATACAGGCCCACACTGCAAATTAACTTCATGGCTGAGATTCTTTATTAAGAGTCCCTGAAGGCCCTAAAAGACAGGTATCAGTTAGCATTTGTTGACCTTGGCCACCATTAAATCTGCCCTGATGGTCTCAGAAATGGCACTGACATTTAAAGACTTCATAACAAGGCAGAGAAACTTTAATGTTATTTCACAGTTACAATATGTTTGCAGGGGGGAAAATTCTCATTAATGTCACTGAATGCAAGTGAGGTTTTTTTTATTCCCTTAGAAGGAGGAGGTCATGTTAGGCAGAAGACTGAGTTCCAACATGCCTTTGACAGCTACTCAGTACTTTGCAGGGTCTAACCTCAAATTAAAAATAACTGCTGGGAATCAGAAGCTAGTCAACAACTTTTTTAGCAATTTGTGTTTTTCTGTTAATGCTTTAAATTGAAAACTTCAGCTGGATGGTAGAAGCTGCAGGGAAAATGGACAGCCATTTACACTTATGAGGGATCAGATAAGACCAGAGCATGCCATGACGGATCTGTAAGATGCAGGCCAGGTGAAGGGTAAAAAGCGAAAAAAATTAAAATCCCAAAGACCCACATACTACCATGAGTCTAAAGACTCACAAGCATAAGGAATTGGGTAATTTTACAAGATGAGTTTAAGAAAGATATTGCCTACGGGACACATGGAAAACATGACAGACCATGATGGAACAGCTGTGCTTTCCCCTCGGTGGAACTCTTCCAGGCTTGCTGTACAGTACAACTTAAAGATACAACTTCCTTTAACTGAGGCTTAAACAAACAGACTGCTCCTTGCAACATACGGAGTTAGTAAGACTTGATCAGATGGAAACAAGGAGATATTAAAAAATAGTTCAAATAATCTTTAGAAGGGTTTAAAGAGGAAGACATGTGGGAAGTTCCATGAAATCTTTACCTCAATCCCAGTAATTTTTGCTCAGGGATTCAGAGCAGAGCTTAAACAAACATCCAGTCCTTAAAGCTTCCTACAAACAGACAAACAGTGCACCAGTTTTATGCATGCAGCATTATGATCTCTGCAAATTCTTCTTAAACGCAACTTGTGTGCTCTGCAGTGTTAATTCACAGTGCTGGCAGAGGAGACACAGTTACAGACTGACTCCAGCACACAGGGCTTTGTACTGCAAGGGATGAACGAGTAACAGATCAGATCTTACAATCTCAACACAGGCAAGGTCCTGACAGATTTCGCTGGTAGCTCTGCATGTACAAAACATGTTTAAGAAACAGCCCAAAAACATTACCTCGAGGAGTCTTGCACTCTGAGAACAAAAGCATACACTGGGCAAAATACAGTGCCATTACGTTGAACAGCGCAATTCCTATAGATGTTAACAGCATTAGTTTTATCCATAGCACCTGGGTTTGTAGTTTGTAGCTGAAATACATTTGAATACAGAAAAAGAGACAATGAAATAAAATTTTTCTCAATTGTTTCTTGAGAACATTTCTCTAACCTGGATTTTCAGCTCCAAGGAACATGCAAGTTCAGAACTAGTCCATTATTCTGAGCAGGGACCCTGGAGGAAGCCAAGAAGAATGAACAGAAGCAGCAATCAGAGGAGAAATACAGAGATTTAAAGATATTTGAAGATGAAGTGAAAATTTCTAAATGGACAAATCCAAGGCTACCATATACAGGGACACCTTAAAGACCACCAAGGGCATGTATCAATGACCTAGCTGACGCACAAAGGTATACATCCTAAACCTGGAACTCGGTCACCACCATGCATTGTTGATGTATGGGTCTCATCTGAATAAAGCTTGAGTTGGGTTTGCAGGTCTACCAACAGTATAAGCACTTGCTCTTGTCAGTAGGATCAGGAGAATATATTATAAATAAGCTCAGGTAAGATATTGGGGCAACAGAAATGTCATTTTAAGAACAATTATTTCAAATGATAGGACTATTTGAAGTGCATTACTAGTGATTAAGGAGCTATTCTTTCCAAGAGTCTGTAAGAATTTATCAAGGAGAATGTAAAAAGGTAAAGATTTTAAAGTAAATTAGTAGGATATATTGAAGTCTATCATTTTTTTTTCTTTAAATCATACAATCCTTTATTAAAATCTCTACCATAAGTAACCTAATATCAGTCATTATAAAGTGCCCACATAATAGTTCAGCAACTGTCTCTGTCAGTACCTAAGATAAATACAGTAGATAACTTGGAAGGTAAGCTGACCATTTTTCAAGCAAGAAATAAAGCCCAATTTTCTGTACAAATTATGTATAGCTATGATTGCCATATTCCACTGAATAAAAGAAGTGGTCTCAATCAAAGAAACAATACGTGAATGACAGTCACAAGCCTGTATTTTTCCTGTGAAAACCTACTGAACTCAATATACTGAACAGGTGTAGCAAAAAAAGTCAAAATAATAAAACTGGATCACATCACAAAAAAGTGAATCTATAGCTGCTAGCTGACAGCAGAGGAACACCTCCTATGTTTGTGTTGCCTCCAATTTTCTTCTCCCCTCTTTGTTAAGAGGGTTTGAGCTTGGATGCCAGGTGCACGAAAAACCTGCATTCAAAGTGGCACACGAGCATTTGCTGGCACTCAGCTTTAAGTGTATATTTTGCATTCATAAACATGCCACCCTTCCTCTCCAGCTACACAAATATTGTAGATAATCTCTAACAAATGCTTCCATTTCAGACCAGCAAACTGGTTTTACGCTGGCTGATAAGGTAGTCATTAATAATACAGTGCTCCAAGAAAACTAAAGCAAAGAGCGTGTATGTTGAGTCTTGGAAGTCACTGTGAGCGGAATGCCCATTAAGCCCCAACAGTACCTACGTATGGCCATGTAATACCTGACCACTATGTTTGCTACAAAGC